ATTTGTAGTGCCCCGTCAATTGTTGAATGCCCACTTTGTACATCGATGACATATATCTCGATCTTGAGGACATTTTGATGAGGCGTTGAGTGCTTGATAGGTACCGGTGAGCATCGATTTTCCAGGATATCGATACTGACGAGCCGCTTGTTGAGGAAAGATTCCAGATGCGAGAAAGGTGAAATTATGGACAGAGTTTTCGAGGTTTTGCTCCCATGCTTGGACCGTTGAAGGTGAACGATCTTCTAATCGGGATATTGAGTTGGGTCTACGCGGTGATGCATACCTCTGTGATGTTGAGCATATGCTTTAGATCTGCAACCTTCTCCTTCTAGTTGCGGCAGATAATACAGGCAGATCATGTGTTACATAAACTATAGTCGTGTATTGTTATATCGTTGGACAATAAGGCTCCAGGCTATTCAGTAATTTATTCCAGTAAGGGTCATCTGATGAACATCCTCGTCTTGGCCTGACGGAATGGCCTGTTTCAGAAAATTGAATTTTTGTATGTCAGACAGCGCTATGTTATCATGGATAAGTTGGGTAAACGCACCGTAAAATGTTGCGGATTGTTATTGTTGTTGTTGGATTGGCCAGCCACAATCTTGCCGCCATAAGTTTGTACGGGCACCTTGGGTAACTGCAAGGGCGATTTGGCAGACACCATTGTGATCTGGCCGTCGGTGTTGTTTGGAGAAAGGTCTGCTGCATTTGGAATTCTGGTAGGGAATTATTCTTCGAATGCGTCTGCTACGGCACATGCAGTAGTTGTGTAATCTTCATCGAACTGAAACGCCACATTATTAGAAACTTAAAAATGCTCTCTAGGGCAATTAAGCCTGATAGAGAGTTTCTAACTGCCGCAAGCGTAACTAAAAATACGGGATTGTTTTACCCTCCGCGCTATCCTTCTTAGAATTCCGCTGAAGATTTTTTAACCGTCGCAACTTATCTTGTTGTATCGTAGTCAACTAGTCGATTCACTTGCTTTTGCAGGTGATTTCCATGCACACAACAAACACTCACCTCTATGTCCAACTTTCGTGACTTCTTTGCGTCAAGTCCGCAGCGATGTATTCCGTTTGGTATGCAGCTGGAAGGAAGTCGTTAGTTATAGCTGGAAAGATTTTGGATCAACAATCAACTTCATCAGTGTGAGCGGTCCTTACGGAAGGAGAGAAAGTGAATGAGCAACTTGTTAAGATCTGGGAACTTGACAATTTTCAACAAAATCAATAAAGTTATTCACCTTTTGAAAAAAAAATGTGAATCCCACTTTCTTGAGAACATGCAGCGCCCTCAGGACTCATGATATATGGTCCTACTTCCTATTTGGAGCATACATCAGCGCTGGGGGAGAGTCGTGACATTGCCACACAACGGTTCTTATTAAAAGAGAAACGGTTGCAGAAAGATCAAGCAATTAATCAAGTATACATTGAGTTTATGAAGGAATACGAATTATTCGGACATGTGAAGGAAGTTTCTCTGGTGAATTTCCAAAAGTTATTATTTTATTCCTCATCATTAAGTTTTAAAGCCAAATAGTCATACAACGAAATTACGGGTTGTATTTGGCGGATCAGCATCCTCTGGCAAGTCATTGAATGACTTATTGCACAAAGGCCCAATAGTGCAAAATACTTTAGATTACACAAATATGTGTTTACGGGTAACATCGAAAAAATGTACAGGTAAATTTGGAAAAGCCCGAAGGACCAGCACAATCAAATGATCATATTCTATCGACTGAAAATGGTCACGTATGGCACCAACTCCGTACCTTACATAGCCAATAAATGTTTAGAATACTTGGCATCAAAGCAGTTCAACAGTATCCCATGTGATCGTCTGCTCTTAACAAATGATTTATATGGATGACTGCATTACCGGAGCAGATACATCCAAACTGAACTTGACAAAATATTAGTCATTTCAGAATTTTAGTTAAGAATGTGATGCGCCTACAGCAAAACATTGAAAATATTTTATCCTCTTGGATTATTCTCTCCAGTAGTCATAAGTCAAAAATATTCATGCAGGGTCTGACAAAAGAGAGATTTGACTGCAATGCAATGCAATGACAAAAAGCAATGGATACAATTCCGTGATAGATTAAACGCGTTAAATGACATCCAAATTTCACGAGATATTTTTTAAGGGCGGATACCGACTTCAAACGAGGTTCACACTTTTGTTGATGCTTCAGAAAATGCACATTCAGCAGCCGTTTATTTTCGAGCAGATCAAAAAGACAAAAAGGTGACTGTACAATTGTTGTGTGCAAAATCGCATTTGATTCCGATAAATACAATTACTCATCCCCGACTGGAATTAAAAGCAGCAGTGCTAGGTGCACAATTTACATCTAATATAAACGAACAGCTCTCAATGCAAGCAGTCTTAATAAACTACTGGGTAGATTGGGAAATAGTGCTTACTGGTGTAACGACCTGATTTCTATGTATTGTCGCTCGCTACGTTAACGGGCGGCTAGCTCAGAGAGGTTATGGGTTCGTTCCACCAAATTTATATTGGGTGATTGCCTTTGACCCATGAATATCGCAAGAGTTCTGTTGGGATCGTAACTGTCTTTATTCGTCTCCTTGTACAAGCCTCGCGGCTCTTCAGCTGCTGCTGCTCCTCTTCGTCGTCCTCTGCGGCGTCGCTCCTCGTCGCTGTCCTTCGCGGCGTCGCTCCTCGTCGTCGACTGCTTGCTGGTATCTGCCTCGTGACGGCTCCTTCGAGACTCTGGAGGTTATGCGAACCTCACTGTCGGGACCGGTAAGGTGTTTCGCCTAGCAGGTAGAACGCCGTTCTGCCTTTTCGCCTTGCCACCTTTATCGCAGGCTCCCTAAGTTGGTCCGGATTGTGTAGGCAAGGTGTATCGCCTAGCCGGTTGAACTCGGTTCGACCTCTTCGCCCAGCCACCTTTATCGCAGACTCCACGCAAGGACTCCCTGAGCTCGATTTAACCACGACCTAGCACCCTTTGGATCTCAGCGTTGAAGCCTCAGCCTTGTAGACTCTCAGTCGTTCGGCGTCTCGACTTTGCGATCTTGATCCTGGTACTCGGCACTTGATTAACTTGCTACTAGTCTCGCGTACACGCACTCGCTTTTATTCTCGCACTATTACTCCTCCCGTGTGCTGCGCTTGCGCCGCCTTTTATAGCCTGTGATGGTCCCGTTATTTCCCTTCTCCAGCTCGCGTGATCGGGTCCAAGGTCCACTGCCGCACCGTTAGTTCACGGTGCGTCCTCTTTGTGCGGGTCCGAAGTCCGCCAATTTACCGTTCGACCCTGTTGCCCTTGCCGTATGGGGGTCCAATGTCCAGCGTGGTACCGTTAATTCACGGTGTCTCCGCTTTGCCCGGGTCCAAGGTTCGTTGTTTACCGTTTGACCTTGTTGCCCTTGACTCCTCCGGCATTCTCGCCTCCTTCGCTGTTGCTATGCAGCTCTCCTGCCTCGGAATTTGTGGGGGGTTTTAAGACTCCTCACATTTCCCCCTTTCTTCGGAAATGTTATGAAAGTGGTGATCTCCCCGCCCCTGATGTTCGTTCATTCAAATTCCCCGCCCAAACTCGTTCTCCTCGTGACCCTATACAGTTCCCCAAAAGACTTCAACTTTCCCTGAGCTGCCCTCGTAAGACTCCCCCCAGACAGCGCTCTGAAAGACCTTTAACTTTCCCATGGCTGTGCTGCGTTAGCCTGTTCCCCAGACAGTTCCCCGAAAGACTTGAACTTTCCCAAAACTGCATCTAGTTCCTTCGATAATTCCCCGCGTAGAATTTGAATTTCCCGCCCAGACATTTCCCCGTGTTTGATATCACCATTCCGATTCCCGTCGTCTGACCACACCTCGATCGCACTTATCGATAGTGGTTCCAGCATTGCCATCGTTGTTGCCGTTATCGTTTCCGTTGTCTTAAGTTGCCTCCGTGTGACCGTTTCTTGAGAAATCCAGTATTTTTTGTACCCATCGATCGCAACTATCGATCGACCGCCTATCGCCTGGCGCCCCCGTCCCTAATTTCCTCTCGGCCTCGTTGTTTTGAAGAAACTGGTAAGTAAACTTGCTGAAGGTAGTTTTCCTTTAATTAACGACTTTTTTCTTTACAGCGACACCATGACCATGATGCCCCTGATGCCCCTGACATGTCTCGGGGTGCTGACCCTGGACCGCGTGCCCCGGGAGACCCTTGCGGCGGCAAGTGACCCCCCTCGCCCTACGCCTGCGGCAGCCTCGTGTTTTCTGCCGGCCCGCGTGCTTGGCCCGCGATTCCCCCCTCACCGCCCCCGTTCCGCGATTCCCCCCTCACCGCCCCCGTTCCGCGATCGGCTGCTGCGGCGGACCACTCTTTTTTTTTCTGTGTTGTGCCTTGTTGTGATCCCCTGCCCAAAAAAATAACTGCTGGGCTCAAATGCTATTATCTGTTTATTGGGCCTTAAACACCCGCACCCGGCCCCCTGCTACCTTGACTCGGTAGCGCTGTCCCTCCTCCAGCACGAGCTTGGCCCACCTGGCCTTCCTCTGCCTCCCTCGCTGTCGCTGCGCCTCTTCGGTCGCCCGCGCCGGCCAATCCGCCTCCGGAACCTCCGCCCACGGTTCCGCGCCCTCCGACTGCTGTCTCCGCAGCGTCGGCCTCGCCGGTGGGGCTCGCGACTCCGGGCACGAAGTCTGCCGCGCCAGCTTCGGGGGTGGCGCCGTGTCCCGCGGTGTTGTCTCCGGCGGTGTTGGCCACTCCCATGGCCCCTTCTCCAGCCCCTCCTGGGCCTCGCGTTCCTCCTCGGTCGTCCTCTCCAGCCCCGCGCGATCGGCCGTCTCCGCGACGCGCTTCGTCGACCTGGCCCTCGGATCGCGCGGGCTCAGCGGCGGTGGGCGCCGCCACTCGATGGCTTCGATGGCCTCTCGCATCCTGGCGTCCTCTGTTGCCACAGGGCGCGGGCCACGTCCACGTGACCGTCTGCTGATGACACCGCCGCCCCTCCACCACGATGGTCCGCAGCGCTTGCGCGACCTGCGCTTGTGGCAGATGCCACTCTTGCTGCCTCGGTGGCGACCATGGTGGTGGTGACGGTGAATGTGGCAGCGGTGACGGCGATCGTGGTGGCGGCGTTGGTGGTGGCGTCGGCGAACGTGGTGGCGGTAACGGCGGCTGCGTTACCGACGGCGGCCGCGCTGCCGACGGCGGCTGCGCTGCTGGTGGTGACTGCGGTGGCTGCTCCTGCGGTGGCTGTGGCTGCTCCTGCGGCGGCTGCGGCTGCCCCTGCGGCGGCTGTGGCTGCCCCTGCGGCGGCTGTGGCTGCTCCTGCGGCGGCTGCGACTGCCCCTGCGTCGGCTGTGGCTGCTCCTGCGGCGGCTGCGGCGGCTCCTGCGGCGGCTCCCACAGTGCGGCCTCCTCGGCCTCGGCGTCCCTCAGCCTCTGCTGCCACGCGACGACTGCTGCACTCCTCGCCGCCCGCCGGGCCTCCCATTGGCGGACAGTGACCGCCCGCGCCTCCAATATACGAGCCCACTCTTTGGGCTCGCCCGACGGGGGTATCTGCCCCAGGCAGATCCTCCCGAGCCCTGCCGTCGCCCTGCTCAACCGGCGGAAGATCATCCTGTCCCTCGCAGCTCGCCGCGCCACGTCGTCCTCGTCCTACGACACCTCGGGACTGACGGTCTCCGTCCCCTCCTCCTCCTCCTCACTCGCGTCCTCCGGCCCACTCTCGTCGGAAGAGATGGCGACGACCTCTGCGATTTCCGTCGCGTCTGCGCCTGGGTCCTCCTCCTCGGACGGCAGCTCCACGTCCGAGATCTCCCCGGTGGACTCCTCGTCCGCCTCGCTGACCGGTGACGGGGATCGCGACACCAGGGGGACGCCAGAAGCTGGAGAACGGAATCGGAGTCCCGTCTCTACTTCGCCACTGGCTGTTCCCTGGCGCGCTCCTCCCTAACCTCGTGTCCCACTCGCGATTGGGTGTTGTTCTTACGTGCGCTCATGATGGTTAACTTTTTTGGAAAGACCTGCACCATGCAGCGCCGTCGCTGACAAAACCTCGGTTCTTCCGCGTATCCTCGGTTCCGTTATTCGCGGAGACGTGTACCGGTAACGGGACTCGCTCTCCGCTCTGTGTCCGTGTAACGTTTACAAGTAACGGTGCCCTCCGTGTACACGCCTGCTACGCAACCCGTGCATGTGTGTGTTTAGCCGGTAACGGTGCCTACGGCTTTTTAAACCGTCCCTGTCCCGCTCTCGCGCTCCTGACGTGTGCTTGACCGTTAATTTCGATACTGTGTATCGTCCTCCCCCTTTCTTCGGTTAGGGTACAGTGCTCCTCCGATACGCCGGATTTGTTGAGACTGCCCCTCTTTGCTTTGGGGTTTTAACTGGCTTATGTGTGTTTTCCTTTCTTTGCCCGTGTGTTCGTGCCGCAGGTTGCAAATAACCGGAGAATCGAAATTAATTATTTTAAACGGCCCCTCGTATCTGGGGGCCAGTTTCGCCGCGAATCCTTCTGCCGCCTTGGATAGATGGTGCTCCTTGGCCCATACCGTGTCTCCAATCTGTGGTTTCCAAGGGCGCCTCCGGAGATTGTAGTGGCGCGCCTGATCCTGCGCCGCCTTCTCCATGTTCCGTCTGACCAGCTCGAAGATTTCGTTTATTTTTTTCGCATTCTCCGACGGGGTCTGGGTTTCCCTTCCTGTGCCGGTGGTTTCTTCATCAAACAACGCGCTCGGTAACCTGGGCTCTCTACCCTGCGTGACGAATGCCGGCGAATACCCTGTGGACTCGGCTACACTAGTGTTCACGGCCAGCTGCAATTCTGGCCATTTCTCATCCCACGTTCTCTGGTCTTGTCCGGCAAACTGGGCGATCATTGTTTTTACGGTTCTATTGGCCCTCTCCGTGGGATTTTCTTGTGGTGTGTACGGGTGCCGCACTCCCAACTCTGTTAGGAACCGCTTGAACGCCCTGCTCGTGAACTGCACCGCGTTATCGGTGATTAAGACCTTCGGCACGCCGTACCTTGAGACAATCCTTTCCCGGATTGCCTTTTCCAGCGTCTCCGTGGTAGCCCTCCGCATTGGCACTATTTCCGTCCACTTCGAGAACCGATCTACGAGCACTAGTAGCATCGAGTTCCCGTGTTTCGACCGAGGAAGCGGCCCAACGAAATCGGCGCATACTGTGGCCCAGGGCTCCTCTGGGATCTGTGTGAGCATTTTTCCGGCTGCCTGGAGCTGACTGGGCTTGTACCTGAGGTAGCTCTCACAGTTCCGCACGTGCTTCCTAATGTCGCGGTGCATGCCCGGCCAATAATACCTCGCTGCCACCCTCGCGATCGTCTTCCGGCTGCCCATGTGTCCGGCCGTCGGCGTATCGTGGTTCTCAACCATGACTCGCTGCCTTGACCCGCTTGGTACGCATAGCTTCCATGCGACCACATCCTCGTTGCCTGGTCTGTGAGGAATGTGCCGGTACAGCCGGTCGGCCTCCACTAAATAGTCCGGATATTTTTGGGGGTTCTGTGGTATCTTGCCCCTTATGTCCCTTATCCAGCTACATTCGGCTTGTTCTGCTGACTGACCAGGTGACTTCGTTTTCAACCTTCGGCAGGTTTCGGGTAAGGGCTGCCGCGACAGTGCGTCCGCCATAATATTCAGCTGGCCTTTCCTGTATGTTATTTCGAAGTCGTATTGCTGGAGCTCCAGTGCCCACCGCGCGATTCTTCCGGTTGGGCTCTCGATGCTATTCAACCACTTCAAAGCCATGTGATCTGTTATCACTTTGAAGTGGTATCCCTCCAGGTATGGCTTTAATTTCCTTATGGCCCACACGATTGCTAAACATTCCTTTTCAGTGGCGGAGTAACTTTTTTCCGACCCGTTTAGGGTCCGGCTGGAATAGGATATCACCCGCTCACCCTGGTCGGAATTTTGAGTGATAATGGCGCCCAGCCCATAATCGCTGGCATCGGTCTGCAGCACAAACGACTTTGAAAAATCCGGGCATGCCAAAATTGGGTCGGTGACCAATCTTGCCTTGACAGCTTCAAAGGCCTGCTGGTGGTCGTCGGTCCTTTCCCATTTGACACCCTTTCGGAGAAGGGCTTTCAGCGGATGCACTAGCGTGGCAAAATCTGGCACAAAACGCCTGTACCACGACGCCACTCCCAAGTACTGCCGTAGTTCTTTGACATTTGCCGGTGGTTTTAGCAATGCTATCGCTGATACCTTTTCCGGATCCGTCCCGATGCCCTGGTCTGTAATGCGATGCCCTAAGTATTGAAGTTCCTTCTTGAAGAATTTACACTAATCCGCGTTTACTTTCAGGTTTGCCGCTCGCAGCCTTCTGAATACTTCCTTTAGGTTCCGCATGTGCTCCTCTAGTGTCCGTCCGATGACGATTATATCATCCTGATACGCGAAAGCGTGCGGCATCATTTCAAGTCCAATTACCTGGTCCAACGCCCGCTGGAATGTTGCTGATGCCGAGTGTAAACCGAAAGGCATAACTTTCCATTGAAACAGGCCTTTCCCTGGCACTGTGAATGCGGTATACTGCCTGCTGGCTGCCTCCAACGGTATTTGCCAGTACCCGTCCTTTAAGTCGAGGCTGCTAATATATTTAGCTTCTCGGAGTTGGTCCAGGATGTAGTTGATCATCGGCATTGGATATGCATCCTTCACGGATTTTGCGTTGATCTGCCTGAAATCCACACAGAGCCTCCATTTCCCGGTCTTCTTTCTCACCATGACTATTGGTGAGCTGTACGGACTCCTTGACGGTTCGATGCATCCCTTTTCAAGTAGCTCGTCTACTTTGGCGTTGATCTCGCTGATAGTACCGCTGTTTGACCGGCTGATCGTCCTTCATGGTGATCCTGTGTACTGCCACGTTTGACGTGCCTTGCAGATTTTCCAGGCTCTCCAACTCGGTCTTTAAAAACTGGTCCACATCCTTCTCCGAAAATTCCTTCGCGGCTTCCACGACTGCTACCAACAGTTTTTCCTCTAGCCAGTCTCGGTGTCTGTCCCTCGCCGGTATCATCACTCTGTGACCTGCGCATTTCACCTCGGCTCCGATTTTGGTGAGGAAGTTCCATCCTAGCACCAGTTCGTCAATCAATCCTGGGAGGATCAGCAGCTCCATTGACACTTTTCTTGTGCCAAGTCCGATTTGAATTTCTAACTGCGATTTTACGTCTCCGCATCTACCGTCCGCCATCCGTACTTGCCTCTTTGTGGGTCCAACCTTTCCTGCCGCCTGCAGCCTGTCCGCCAGCTCTTTGCTGATGAAACTCGCTGTCGCGCCGGTGTCCACCGTGGCCTTAACGTTCGCGTCACCTATGAGAACTGTGGCGGACAGTTGCATTTCTTCCGCATTCAGGTCGCCCATTATTTTTGAGAGGCAGCACCTTACGATCCCTGGCCGCCCCTCGGAGGCTGGGATCGTTGCGCGTTTCCCGAACAGCACTCCACCGTTCGGACGCCTTTCTTTCCGCATCGCCAGCAGAATGTGAGTCGCCGGTTCCGGCACTCCTTCGTCCAGTGGTCCGCGCCCCCGCATCAGCGACACGCGTTGGCCGGATTCTGTATAAATCCACTGCGATCGGCTGGTGGTCCGTGTTCCTGCGGCGTATGCCTCCGTGGCGCCTCCGTGTCCTCCTGGCACCGCCTACACACCGCACCCTGCTCTGCCCTTGGTCTTGGCACTGGGCGGTTCTGTGTCCTCTGGGAGAGGTTTTCCATTTCAAACTTCTCCCGTTGCTCCTCCAGCTCCTCAAACTCGTCTGCCAGCGCCATCAGGGTGTCCAGGTGCCGACACTCGTACGGCCGGATAAACATTCGGAGGGCCGGCGTGCTGTTCTCCTTTATCCTGTTCAGGATTTCTTTGGCAGACATACCCAGGGGCCGCATCATCGTCTGCATGTCCACCATGTAATCTTTAAATTTTTCCCCGTATGTCTGCCTCCGCTGCCTGACCTGGTCCGCAAGCTTCTCCATGTAGCCTCGAGGAAGGAAATATCCTTGGAAACTGAATATGAAGTCTCCCCAGTTGTCCCACTGCCGGTTGTTGGCTATGAACCACTTTAGGGCTCTGACCTGCAGCAGCTCCGGCATTGCTCGTGGGATCTGGTTTATATCCAGACCATATGTCACGGCTGACCACTCCACCTGCTCCAGGAACTCCAGTGGCTTGTCGTTGCCGTCATACCGAAAGTTCCACTCTCGGACTTGCTTGGCCACCTTGGCGTAGTCCTGCGGATGTGGCCGTACGCTTTCTTTCCTCTCGCGGCTGCCTTCTCGCTGACTGCCGTCGCTTGCCATGCTCTGAATATCCAGGCTTGCTATAGGGCCTTCGGCATCTGCGGCTGTTAGCTTGAATTTTGGGACCGGCAGCTTCCGGAATTTGACCTCCAGACCTGCTACTAACTCTGCCACGACCGGGTCTTCTGTTATGCGGTCAACCGTCTCTGCCAGGATCTTCCTCATCGCCTCTACCGAGCCCTCAAGTTCTATTCCCAGAACATTGCTCACCTCGGCGAAGTCCTTCTTCCTGAGATTATAAATCCAGGACTTTCCCATCTTTGATCTTTTGTTCTCTTGGTCAGGGCAATCACTCATGGGCGCCAGATGTAACGACCTGATTTCTATGTATTCTCGCTCGCTACGTTAACGGGCGGCTAGCTCAGAGAGGTTATGGGTTCGTTCCACCAAATTTATATTGGGTGATTGCCTTTGACCAATGAATAACGCAAGAGTTCTGTTGGGATCGTAACTGTCTTTATTCGTCTCCTTGTACAAGCCTCGCGGCTCTTCAGCTGCTGCTGCTCCTCGTCGTCGTCCTCTGCGGCGTCGCTCCTCGTCGCTTTCCTTCGCGGCGTCGCTCCTCGTCGTAGACTGCTTGCTGGTATCTGCCTCGTGACGGCTCCTTCGAGACTCTGGAGGT